GTACTTTGTGATCAGACTAGCACTTTTAATTCATATATTCCACGTTTCACAGCACACACAAATGCTCGCAATACAACCAAGTCAAGAAGGGTTTTGTCACAGAAGTGGGTTCATTGAGCAAATCTCCTGACTCCGAAGAGTTTGGCACACAGCCGACTACTGTCCTCTTCATCAACTTCTGTTTCGCATTTGGTTCGATCATCTAATTCTCCGCACATTGCTGAGTTTACAATTCATGTCACTGGAGCCGAAACTGAATTTTCACCTGTTCATACGGAACCTCCAGTTTTCGTCAATGAGCTTCCGTAATTCAAGACATCCGATAAGACTGCTCATTCTCTCTCAGAAGATAAACACAAGAAAGTATGAACATAACTCCCCAGACTCCCCAAAGCTAGGTAATGTGCCAAGGCTATGTACTTTTTTATGTAGTTGAATCCGTTGGTATTTTAATGCTCCGTGTTCTCCAACATTGAAATTGACTGTTCCCATCCGGCACTCAGCTATCCCATTCTTATGCACTTCAGTACTATGTGCTTCTGTATACGTACATAGACTAAAGCCAAACCGCACTAAAAATTGTCTGACGCACAGAGTTCTTCAGGTGTTAAACGTGGGTGGCTTCCAGCGTTGGTCTCTTTTTTACCGTTCAGATCAGTTCCCAGACTGTATAGACTTCGTTTTCGCGTCCTTTCTGGGTTGCGTGAAAGAACCGATCACACTGCCGAACTACACGGTCAATAACCCACAGGTCGATCAGTAAGATACTGTAAACAACTACATATGAACTCGAAAGTTTCACTGGTGGGCAATTGGTAGTGCGTGGGTAACAAACAAGTCTATTCGGATAGGTCATAATTGGGACATAGTTGAGCAAATGAGGAAATTACTCACATTATCTTCCTCATTCTCTTCTGATTGTGGGGGTACCTGAATTTATTGGAATGTAAAGGGGTCGCATACAGAGAATGATAAAAGTAAACTGGGGAAAATTTCAACTCGAAAGAAAACAGTGTCATTAAATTGATCATAACTCTTCTTTTTTTCCTCACCCATCCCAGTTATGAGTGTTTCGTGTCTATGAGAAATGGACATCTGGTGGCCCGTATAGAACCTCAGAGAGAGAGGACGTAATTTTACATTATGAGCTGGAAAAAAGTCCTAGCACCGACGTGAACTGGATAGCGATTGTCCAATCCCAGACAATAAATGTCCACCACAGTGCTGGTGATGACTTGGATCGCTTGATCTATGGGATTTGTTTAGGATTGGGCCGTATTTCTTTCAGTGCGCGCTGAGAGACAATGTAACTTCTTATTGTGTTATTATCGAACACAACCACAGAAACAACTTTCCGTAACAAACTGTTCGACTCTTTGTCGATATACAGTGAGATATAAATGGTTCTTGTTTGAGTCTTCATTAGACAAGGTATTGGACGATTTGAATTTATTGTTTTGCTCAAAATGCGACTGAAACAATCGCGTGAGTGCACAAAATAAATGAATACAAACGCATTTCATTAAGCACTGGAACCGACCAACGCGAGCTAGCAAACAGTCAAGGTCAGGGTGTACATAATCTAAGGATAACGCATTACTTGCATAGATCAAGAGCAAATATTGAACCAGATCCTGCAAAATATCGGAGAAAAAGTGGGCTATGTACTGATAAATCTCGAAATGATTTCGTTACCGTGAAAATATCTCACTTATAGAAGGTGATCCGATTTGAATGGCCACTGTACATTTGTTTCATTCAGGCTAAGAATCTTCGGCGGTGCTTACGAGCTTATGATGACACACACCTTGCATGCATGATTAACAGTCTCTCAGGGCGCCAAATGTCAACCGGAGACAACTCTGGTGGTTGATTTCGTATAAACACTAGGTAATATAGTCCCAGTTTCTGCAATTTGGTATTTAATATTGTCAGTGTACCACAGATGAATTAGCTGTCAAACATCGTCTTAGCATTAAACCGCGGAGTGTGAAACTGACAATCATGTGTTTCTGTTCCTGTGTTCTGGGCTATTTGTGGGTGTGTGCGTGCATGCGTGTGTGCGTGCGTGCGACCCGTCAGTCTTACTCGATAAATTATATACTATGACAATTCTAACGATTGCATCACTCAAAACAACTGTACAAAGCTCCCAACTTGTGAATTCGCATTTCGCCTATCCCGGATAGGACCAACTCCATTCAATCACCAAACCGAATTTGCCGTTACTTCATTGCACATCATAATGCTGGCAAATTATTTAAAAAAAATAATAAAAACCATTGAACTTACGGGTGCCCCGGGTTTGGGAATCTGTGTTTGGAAAGGAGAGAAACGAAAATGTTTCACAGGTCCATCGTCAAGCATAAACAACTTAATGTCATTTCAGAGTGTCAAACTTGAAATAGCCCATTCGATTGTTCATCAGAGACAAAAATAGGCACTGCTGACGAGTCCCAAACAGGACAAAACAGCTGTCAAGTGGCGTTCTCTGTTCGTTATCACAAACGTTTTCATGACATTTAAACTTAATGTAGCATTTATTTTGATGAATAGCGATAGAAATACGCGATAAATGTGTTTATCAGTAGGAAATAAATTGCTGAGAAATCGGCGAAAAAACTACGGTATTTCCATCGAAAACTGAAGTAAAAATTATGCGACAAACTACTCATACTTCTAATTATACCGATTTTCTTCTCTCATCTTAAATTCAAAAAAATAAAACGAACTTTCTTAACTTCAGTCTAATTTTTTTACGCATCATACACCCTATCTCCAACCTATCATCCAGAGGATCTTCACTGACCACCTCTTTTATTCATTTATTTCTTATCATAATCATTATGTAGTACCGAATTCTTCAGCATTTGGGAGTGTACAGAGCAATTCGTTGATCTGAACATTCACTAATTAAGGGTTTGAGTGACTTTTCATATTCACGCACAAATCACGTAAAGTATTAATAGAGAAAAGTTTCACTGTGATTATCCAAGTTTGTGAGATAAAGGCAAATTTGCGTTACAGCGCCAGGACAATAGATCGGAGGCCGAAAGTTTCGCTCAGTCAAAAGCCACACAGTTCAGGTAGGAGTCTTATGACGCGGCGAATACGAGCGGCGATGGGTCGATGCCTGTTTAGTCAAGGGTTTTGTTTAATCCCAATGATTTCTTTCAATAAAGGAACCGCTACTTCGGTGGCCTTCTTTCTGTGGATCTCGTCGATGGCAGAGTTCGGTAGACGACTAATAGTATGAATTGTGATTTGTAATTTGTCTATTCCGTGTACTACATTCACCATCTCTGCAGTGAACAACAATGTCTCGTTCACAATCGGATGTCATAATAGCACAGTAGCACTTAAGTTTCTGTCCCAAATAAAAAAAAATTTAGCTCTGGTGAAGCAACCACACCACCAGCCCGACTTGTGATGTCCCGTGATTCATTGATACACTGACCGATTGTCCTCATTGATACATGAAAGGATATGCACTACACAAGTTCGGTCTTGACTGGTGGCATCGTTTGACTGCTTCATATGTGATGCACTCGCTAGGGAGGGGCTTTGCTTCGCGCTGTCTAAGAGACAAGAGGGAGTTCCGGAATTATGTAGATGGTATGTCCAAAAGTTGTGTCAAAGTATTGAAGGAAAGAGGCCACTCAAAACCACACTAACTTGTTTCGTTTAAACTGAACTCCAAGGGTTACCATGATGCCTCGCGAAATTCTTTCTAATGAAAGTCAAAAAGAAGAAATTCCTTATTTGGGTTTTATCTTGTTATTGTATCAACAACTGCAAATTGTTATTCACTTCATCCAGAAATGGGAATATTGTAAAATTCCAAGAGGTGGGGTAGGTAGTCGCGGACCGCATTTAATTGGTTACGCTTTATTTTCTTCAATGACCTCCAAGGTACACTCCAAGCTAGAGGAATAATTCGATGTTCCAAAAAACTGCACTCAATCGTTTGTGAATTAGTTGACACAAAAACAGTCGGAATTTTAATCAGCTTGAGACAGTCATTTCAGTCATGTCATTCTAGATAGGTGAACATGAAGTTTCTACAGAGTTCTACAGATTGTTTTACATACTTCAATGGGATAAGACGACTAAAACAACACAGAGTCGTAGCATTTAAGGACAAAACATCTTTGGTTTAGGCACGACATCAGCCTTTGTGTTTAAGGTTGGATCCAATGGGTCTGTACGCGTCACATCGATGTATCCGTGTGAAATCTAGTCAACTCGTGTTGAAGATGTTCTTTGGGTAGATGCAATCTATTAACTGCTTTTGCACAGTCACTCGCATTTGGTTTGTTTTTCATGTTCAGATTGTCAGAGTAACAACCCAAAATACTGACTGACTGATATAATGACTTATACTGCAATAAATTACTTATTCTCAGATCGACTTTAAAACGCCTCGTCTCTCCACAAGGAACTTGTTGCTTTTTTCAAGTCTGACCGAAAAAATCACGCGGTGTTTTCACATATGCACACAGACGTGATCCTTACTCTTGCATGTTTTACCTCCAACCCTGAAGTGCTCACGGTTAAATGCACACGTACGTACGCCAAAACGATCGATAGACCAAGCTTTCACGGTCTGACAGCAACCAAAACCCGCGCACGAAAGTGCACGGTTGATGGTTGTAAAAAATGAAACTGAAACACACGTGGACGATATAAGACGAGAAAAAAAAGAAGCTAAGACTCACATTTAGCACTAATCGATAGTCAAATACCGACCGTTTTATCGGGAAGGGCCTTCCGTAGTCTTGCAACGGTGGAGGCACTAGTTCAACCAACGCCAAACGTTGTCTCGTTTCTTCCATCATGCCACCGTTCATCAATTCTCGGGTAAGTTTGTCAAACAAGCGTCGCCCGTTGTCGTCTGTGGTGGCACCGATTGACCAAACGTAGGAGAAGAAAAAGATGCACTAAAAGAAAACAGAAAGAAAACAAAACAGCCCAAGAGAATTGAGAATAAAAATATTTTAAAGATAAAAATTCGGTTTACTAAACTAAATGGTGTTCATGAACAACTTGTTCTACTTATTAAATGAGAGAATATTTCTAGTAAATCTGAGCTGAATTGATAAATAGTCCTAAGAAAATGTACAAGCTGGGTATCTGGTACTATTGCTTCTTTCGAATAATGATAGCTTGATATCAGCCCTCGCCTCCTAAGATTTGCTTACTCACTCACCAAGCGCTCAGTGTTACGTATGGTATTTCTGCGTGGGGTACAAATTCACGCCTTCAGTAGTTTGACTCGCGATCAATTTGGCTAAACTATGCACTCCAAATAGCAAAGAGGCAAGGGGTACTTTATGGTTGATCTCATTAAGAGACAGAATGGGAGTATGGAAGCCCCAAAAGATAAATCTATTCGGTCGTTACCGATCAAATCGCGAAACACAAAGCTCTCCAGTTCTGAAAAGCAAGCCGATGATTACTAGCGAATGGTGTATTCATCAGACGACTGTCCCCAGTATGGAAAAGCGATGGGCTAGTGGCTTGAATATTCCATATAAATCGAAGTCAGCCATGCAAACTTCAAGCATCCCTGCAAGATTTTGGGATTTGGGCTATATCTATATTTAGCTCACCTTAGGGTGATAAACTGAAATGCGGGCACCACCACGGAAACGAATGGGAACATGCCATCACCACCTACTGTCCATTTGAATGAGTTTATAGCATGTTAATATGGTATATGGGTCAGTTGAACAAACATTTATTAACCAAATTCAAAATCAAGTCCAACACATGTTCCATTATACACAATTAATTTTCAAGCGCAGAGCAGGACCGTTAATTTCCTTTATTATATTATCTAACCGTTTTCAGTCAGACATTAACGAATTACACACCTCTTCTTCTCTTCCTGTGCTGCTCCTGTTTAGAACTATGCGCGGATCGATAGCTCATCGATTGAATTTCCCTAGTGTCAAATTTATGCTGTGCTCTAGCTATCACCTTTTTCGTTTATGATTCCTTTGAAGGTGATCTCGGGCGCCGTATATGCGTGTCACGCTACAGTGACTTCGTTTTAATTTTGATGCATTTTTGTCCCCTGTCTAAATAGGTAGATATGCATGAAGTGGATTAAGCAGTACGTTTATTGTAGAGGGTACACATGTAGCTGGTCCATAAAACGGTGAGCAAGCTGGCACGGGCAACAGGCAGGAAGGCAGGCAAGCAGGCGAACGCCGGCTAGAGCGCCGCACGACATGCATATGCCGTCTAATTGGCATTCAAATAGCCAACGAATCCATCGGAGAGGACAGTTCAATACTAACACCTAATTGGCTGGAGCCGATCGATACTGTAGGATAGTCGGTCGGCTGAGCACGAGTGCGTACGTGTGCGGTAGCTGACAGTAGCTATCAATCAATCAATCAATCAATCGATCGATCAAACAATCCGATCACAGGCAAGCGCGACAAACGTATCCATCGCTTGTACGCCACAAAATCCGCCATTCGCGATACAATTTCCGCCAGAATGTATTAAGTGGAATCGCTTTGCGATTTCGAAACTGGGAGCTAATTGTGTACCATGAACCAGACCATCAGTCCGTTGGTTAGCATAAAGGATGCTGTTACTGGATTAGTTATTAACCAAAACCGCAATTTTATTAATATGAACATAGGTCGCCCACAAAAAAGTGATATGCTATCTCAGTTCAGAATGTGTTCCATACTTGGAAATAGTCTGTCATCGGTCAATTGATTCCACTGTATATAAAATATATAATTTCACCCGTGAGGTAAATGAATTAACCATAGAAGGATGAGGATTTCGTGAGGACACAACCTATTACTAAAAACTTGACAACTTTTTTACAGCAATTTTTCGAGATTTCTGGATTTTCCCTGACGTAATTTTCCTTCTAAATTTCGTTTCAATCTATGCGGTGATTCATCCATGAACTTCTTCTGGGACAGCAAGACAGGATATCAGTTTGGATACCAATGGCAGTTTGTATCATCTATTCCGTTCCCACACAGACGTGCAACCAAATCTCAATCCTTGTGGTGCAACATTTTCGGTTGCAGGTTCTGTTCATTCCTTATTTACATTCACAGATCAATTCAGCATTTGTTTAAATTTTCATAAATATGCACCATTGACCTTGGTATTTGATTAACTTTGTGACTATTCGTCGAACCATGATCATTCTCCACAATGCCCTCACGTGTATCGTAGTAAGTAATTTTGAGAACGACCGTGCCCCGTAAAAACAACAAACAACACAAAAAATATCAAAAAATGTACGGTGGAACATACACAAAAATTTTGTTATCCCAGTTGTCTTCCATTTTCTCGTGTTTAGCTGTTTCGCCCTCTTTCCACTTTGTTCTGTATCCCAATTCACCAGCCTCCTATTCTTGTTATTGTTATTATTGTTGTGGTGAATTGGGATACAGA